CACCGGGTGAAGCTTAAGACTGGTAAACTTAGAAAAATCATTTCTTATTATTTCCTGGTTCGTAAGTCTTTGAGCAAAATTATCATTGTCTAATTGCGTAAATGGAAATGATTGCTGTGAACAATTATCGTAAATCGGATAACTACAAGGAATCATATAACTCGCATCTGCACTCATGCATTCAGTATGAAAATTACTCCCACAAGTTTGACAATTAATTTCACACCCATTAATAATTGAATCACATTTAAAGCAGTTAAACATTTGCTATAAAATTGAGGTTTGAACTAGTTTGATTATAGTCTTACTGTTCAAGCTGGTCGTGCGTGAACCGGTCATTCGATATGTCGTAAATCCTTCCATTCCTTGAGCTCAACTATTCTCAGGTCATCCTTTAATTTACACTTAATTTTCCCATTGGTAAACCAAGCTGAGTCTACCGAGTGTTTTTCCTTCAGCTTCTTTAGCCTTTTCGCTAAATCTTGCGTCATATCTTCCAGAATAACTACCTTTTTGCCCTTTAATTGGCGTATCTTCAGGAGCAGACGTTATAAAATTAATCTGCATCCAATGCTTTTCCCTATAAAAAAGATGTATGTAATATTTATTTCTTAACTTTTTTAAACACTTCCAAATCGTTGCAGATTTCTCAGAATTATTTGTAAATAGCTACCATTTCATTACTATTTAGCTTTTCAGAGGGCCGCGGGGTTGTCAGTTATTTAATTATTAACTGGCTTATTTATGTACGTAGTAACTTGGTATTTTGCGTCTTTCCTTATTGGCTTGTTTTCATACATTCAGTCGAGGCGATAAAATAACACGGATTCTTACGTTTCCTTCCATTCCAATCGACAGGGTGAGTCTCGAAAAAAAAACATCAATCGGTATTTAGAGCGATAGATTATCCAGGTTTTTTTAAGGACCCTTTGGGAAAAAATGATTAATTAATGCTGTTTCTAAAGAGCACAAGCAAACTGCGATTGAATTTTTCTCGGGAAGGACCTGTGTTTCGTAAGCTTATCCGATATTACCTTTGAAGCTGTCCTTATCCACCGTGATTTGTCTGATTTAAGTTGCAATAATTTTTTCAAGGGGAGGACCGCTGGATGTGCACATTGATGATACAAAACGGCTGGCGATTGACATATTGTGCTGCTGCAGAGAACAGCACTTTTTGCCCGGGGAGTTTTCACGAGTTTTATAAACAACGAAGGCGATGGGCGCCATCAACACTAGCCAACCTTTTTCTACTTATTGTCGAATGGAAGCAGACATGGAATAACAACGAGCATATTTCTCTTTTATTCTTTGTATATCAAGCGTTCCTTGTCTTCTCTACAGTGATCGGGTAAGTTATGTCCATTTTTAAGCTTTATCAGAAACGTTCAATATTGGTGTAATCAACTATAAATTCAAGATTTTTATTATTTTTTATCGAAGCATTATTCATCAATCAGTTTCTGTGTAATTGAGATTTTTTTTTTGTTTCTTCGCCATTGCCATGGGCCTACCGTCATAAAATCTATAAAAATTATTCGTATTCCTTTTCACAGATTGAGCTCGGTAACAATTTACTGCGATACGAAAAGCGAAAAAGAAATTTCAATCCGCCTTTTAAAGTTATGAAAAAACAAAGAACAGAAGTCAGGAAATGGTATTTAGGGTGCGTTTTTCACATAATGGAAAAAAGTTGAACTTGCTTTCACTTTTCTATTAGTATTTGAAAAAATAATTAGCATTCAGGTGCACGATTTCATCTATTCTTACGTTACCTTTTTTTCTTGACGACAATCTAGTGAAGCCCATGAAATAACACAATTCCCTTTGTTTCAGAGGTTCCACAGTCATTTTGGTCATAGTGGGTGGAATGGTACTTGCAGGTGTTCCAATCAGCCACATAACGACATCCGTGCTCCTTATCCTTGTTGTTGTTGGTTACGTCCTAGTATGCCTCTACACTACCCCAAAGTGGCAGCTTAGAGTGTCAAAGATACTGACATGTTTTTTCTCAGTAATCATGTGCATTGTGGCGGTCGGATTGGCTGTCCAAGTTTCCAACGATTTAAAGGAAAGGAACGTTGAGCCATCTGTGGCAACGACGATGCAGACAGAAACGACATCGTCAACAACAACAACAAAACCTTTAGAACACCATCTTCCGGTGGGGGTGAGCAGCCTGTACTTAGGTGGACTGACTGGAATCTTTGTAGTGTCTGCTCTCTTGCATCCAAGAGAAGTTACCTGCTTGTTTTATGGAATTTGTTACTTCTTCTGCCTTCCATCCGGCTATCTTCTGCTGACAGTTTACGCTATCTGCAATCTAACTGACAGTTCTTGGGGTATGTTGTCTTTTTCTTTCGATCTTTTCTTTTTTCAGTAGACTTTCGTGCACGCAAAAGCGGGAATTTTCCCTTGTGACCCTGTGAAGCTCATGCATGTTTCAGGCTTTTAACGAATTAACAAAGTGTCCTATGAAGGCTGTTTTCTAAAACAGTCTGGA